AAACTGGTCGAGGGAAACTGGTCGAGGGAACTGGTCGAAGTCACAGAGAATAGCATGAACACTTAGACACTTTATTGAGCGACACATCCACCGAACCCGCCCGAACGGAGGCCTTCCCCCGCGCCTTCGGCGCGGGGGTTCGGCTCCATTTCCGGTGAAGGTTGCGCCGTGCGCAGTATACTCTGCTTATATGCAGAAACGGTTATGACGTCATGGTGGGTTTCGATTTTGATGACGCGAATTTCGACGACAAAATTTCTCCTGTATCGCCATGTTAGTGTTTTTATCAGAAGGTAGGTATACACATACACCAAAAGAGTGCTTCTGCTGTGTGTGTAGTGCCAAAGCCAAAACAAAGCTTATAGTGTTTCTACTCAATTGTGAGGAATCAGATGCATGTGTAGTCTCGTAAAACTACTTGCAATTTGTAGTACACAAACTTGAATCCCATTTTCTAAAATTTGAAATAAATACTGATGGGCGCTATGAGGTTTTGTTGGAAATAAATTAGCATCATGTACCATTGGACCGATGTACCAGTAATGTTGCTTTCACATTTCTCAAAAATCTAGGTTGATGTTTGTTTGAATGTTTTCAAAGAGATATAAATAAAAAGGCATTGCCAATACAGTTGTATTTTTTTTTATTATCACTCCACTCCACAAGCATGAAGTACAGCAATTTGACACATAAAAGAAATAAGTCAAAATTAAAATAATCACTTTTGGATTGGACTTTTGATGATGTTGTAATAAAATCGTAGCACAGATCATTTGAACATTGGGTCCAACCAAAAATAACTTTCTTTGAACATCAAATCGTTGTTAGTGCGGGAAAGGGTAATGACTAAAACTGGATGTAGTGAAGCGTTGTGTTATAGGTATGAAAACACAAGGCGTAATTAAATTAGCTGCTAAACCACTTGTGTATTTCACATTTTGAATTCATAGATAAGCCGTACAGAATGCTTTTCACGGCTAAGAGGTTCTGAAACTTCCATACTCAAATACGCAGAGCAAATGTACGGAACAAAGCCACTAGAACAAAAGAAAATGTTTAACCTTTGAAAAAGCAATAATGCATACAACTGCTGCCAAGCTTTCATTATTCCAGTTTTTTCAATTGACTCAAAAGCCATGAATGAGTGGTTTAATTGAGATTTACTTCAAATAGACTAAACACAATTAACGAACTAAAGCTGCCAGCCGAGCATAAAAGACTAGCTAAAAATAGAAAAGAGATATATTTCGTTTATTAATGACATATCAATTATAAAAGAAAATAGAGTAAATCAAACTTAAACATAGGTATTTTATTGGAGCAGTAGTACAAAAGAAATGTATGAAGGATTTTGAAACATGAAAACTTGCTGATTTAAAATAATATCCAAAAGCATGACGGCACAGTTGTGTAGAAAACATCACAGAGGTATCCATCAAACATTATTCTCAAAAGATTTGGGTCATTGGGGGGCCAAAATACCCGTCAAAATGCGTCTTTGACCTATACTAACAGGGCGGGGCGAGTTTGGGGCCTGTATTTCCCTGACTATTTTTCATTTTCCACAAGGGTTTTTTATTTCCTTGAGTTTTTTAGGAAGAAAGGTTTTCCAGAGATGTGGCGACCATGAAGACCTGCATCTTAAACCCACTTTTAGTTCCACCACTGTAAAAGTAAGTCGAAGTCCTATAGCTTAACATCTTTTCAGAGTTCATTTTGTCAACATGGACATTCTTCTGAGGTACACTCAAGCTCAAGTGAAATATTCATTTGAGGGTCTGCAACTTTTTCAAAGTGCTGTAAGTAATTGGGGCAGAACTTGGGTCTTGCACTTTACATCAGCTGTTTAAACTACAGAAACTTAGTTGAACTCCAAAAGACAACTAATTTCATGTAAAATTATTTATCATAAGAATCATTACTGGTGGTTCAGACAAATTTGGCTGTCCAAAATTGATTGTTCTGTCTTGGTGATGTACTTTGTCAAAGTAACTTTTAAAAAGTTTTAGATCGAGTACTTGGGTGTATTGCTTAGACAGAAAGCCAAACATATGTCTTGAAAACAAATACTCTGCGACTATTGGACTAAAAAACATCCTTGTCTGCATGGCGAACCTGAGGGAAATCATCTGGGAAGTTAATGGAAACTGATGAATAAAAAGGAAGGTAGCCACCAGAGGTTTTACTTACTTGCAGATTGCATCTCCCATCATCATAAAAAAAGCCATGCTGTGCCCTCCTTCATTTAGAACTGTCACCGAAGCTTAATCTCTTTAGATTCCTGAGGGCAAAAAGAAGAGAACAAAAAAGATGTTATAAAATAAACCAACTGAGCAAAAATTTGCGTAAGCAGCCCTTGGCTGACCCCTACCCTTTTTTGTGTCGGTGAAAATGGTCTTAATCTTTTGTTTCTGGTCCAAAACAAACTCACTCTGAAGATTTTAATTTAATATTAATTAGTGGCTGAGTTATGGGGACTTGTGCTTTTTAGGTGTTTTTAGCAAATAAGTAGCGTATATTCTCCCAAACTCAAGTGAAGCAATTTCTGGGGCAGATACGGGTTGGAATCAAGTCAATAAGGTAAAAAGAAACTAAGAATACCCAGGTGAACTTGTTACGAGCCCTCCAACTTTTAGGCATTTATGTAAAATGTATTGTTTCAGCCCTTGCCCAATGAGTCAAAATTAATATTCCACCTTTAAAATTAAGTTCAAGGTAAGTACTAAAGGATATAAGAAAATTGGGACGAGGTTTTTTGAAACATGGAAAGCTTTCCAGAGAGCGCAGAAAATATAACACCAATTCTACTTGAAATGGCTCAAAGTGAGAATATTTCTGCCAGTCTCCACTTGCCCCCCCCCCCCTCTCCTCTTATCCCTGTATGTATTACATCGAGTTTAAAGGCTAATACTCCTCAGAGGTGTGGGATTGCATACCCAAGTGGTTATGGTGCCTTACGGGGAGATCGGGTAGGCAACGATGTAGGGAATACACCACAGTGTTGCGGGTTTGCCTACCCGATCTGCCCGTAAGGCGCCATAACCACTTGGGTATGCAATCCCACAACTCTGGGGAGTATTAGCCTTTAAACTTGATATAATACAGACAGGGAAAAGAGGGGGGGGGGGGGGCAAGTGGAGACTGGCGCCTGAGAAGAGAACGATAGGGTATTCCCTATTCCTTATTGGTCATGGTCACTGGCAAAAGGATAAGTTGTGCAAAGTTGTCTGCTGAGATTGAAGCAGAGTAAACGAATTGATAGTGGATTTAAAAAAGTATCTTTGAGCCAATAGCTAAACGATGAGTGAGCAGGGACAGATTTTTGTTTTCATTGTTGTTTAAAACTGGCTAATTATTAAAATATAAAATATCACCGCATGATTGGGGTTAAGAAACATTATAATTGTACTTAGCAGAAATGGACATGATAAAAGAAAGTCAAAACTTGATGTCTGAAATAGATTTGGAGAGATATATTCTCACTTTGAGTCATTTCAAGAAGAATTGGTGTTATATTTTCTAAGCTTTCTGGAAAGCTTTCCATGTTCCTATAAGGGGCTGCATTTCAAAACCAGAATTTAGGCAAGTGTCCAGGCTATAGAAGATAGCACTGAAATATACATGAAAAGCAAATCATAGAATTGTGTGGGTGCAAGTTCAGAAGTTTGAATACACTTGAATCCTTTCATACTGGCTACCCCAAAATTGCCTGCTATTCTATAAAAGAACGTTTTAAAAAATGGCCCACATTACGCTGGAAGCAAGTTTAGGCTCACCAGTAGAGAATTTATTTACCAAAATTTACAACGGGACTAAAAGGTTATTTGATCAAAGAAAACCCGTATGGAATAAGGGAGTAGAAAAACATGCTGAGGTTTCACCATATAGCTCAAGAGTACCGTCCTGATTGCACACAGACTTATTTGGAGCTACTATGACTTTTGTTGTCTCTGCATAAGTTGCAACAAAAAAAAAA